ATAAAGGACGTTTTATAATGCAATTTAAAAGGAAAAAAAAGTTATGGCTGAATTGTATCCTCCCAAATTCATATGCTAAAGTCCTAACCTCCAGTACCTTAGAATATGACTGTATTTGGAGACAGGGCTTTAAAGAGGTAAGTAAGGTAAAATGAGGTTTAATGGGTGGGCCTCAACCCAATTTGCCTGGTGTCCTTAGAAGAAAAGATGAGGACATGAGAACACACAGACCAAGGAGTGGCCATGTGAACACCCAGGGAGAAGGTGGTCACCTGCAAGCCAAAGAGAGACGCCTCAGAAGAAAACAAACCTGTGAACACCTTCATACCTGACTTCTAGCCTCCAGAACTGTGAGAGAATACATTTCTGTTGTTTAAGCCATCCAGTCTATGGTATTTTGTTACGGCAGCCCTATCAAACTAATACAGAAACACACTCTGGATTTTTCAAACTTAAGGTCAAAACAGAAGACTTGATTTTTTTCTAGTCAAAAGGTTTCCTAGTCTTCCACCCAGTTCCCTCACCAGTCATTCTCATCTCTGCAAATGCCCTCAAGTCAGAAAACTACCAGTGACTCATCATTCCTCCCATTCTCTGATCCCCTGCAAGCCGTCCGTCACAACCCTGTTAATGCTATCCTCAAAGTATGTTTTGAATCTACCTTCCTCACTTTATCACAACCACCTTAGTTCCCACTACTAGATCTCCCATTTAGACTATTGCAAAAGCCTCCTAAATCACCTAACTTCCTCCATTTTCACCCTCCTCTAATTCAGCAATCCTGTCCAGTTCAGCTGCAAAAGTAATTGCTTTCTTAACGCATATAATCATTACTCCCCTCTCCTGGCTAAAACTCTTGAGGTACTTAGAATAAAACTCCTTAATGTGACCTACTTGATCTACACTCTGACTGCCTATCACCAAACATAGCTAGTGCCTTGTGCTCCATCTACATTAATTTTCTTTCAGTTCCTGGAAAATGCCAAGTTCTTTTCTGCCTCAAGGGCTTCACTTTGCTCCCTCTATCTAGAATGTTTTCTTGTCCCTCTATAGGGTTCGAGCCACCTCTGTTTTCAGTTTTAACAGCAACTTCTCCGTTGAGGCCTTCACTGTCCATTTTATTTCAAAGACTTACTCTATTATTCTCTACCCCTTGTTTGTTTGCTTAGTACTTATTACAATTTGAAATACTTTTATTTGCCTGCCTACTTGTTTTTTTCCTATCTCTACTACTAGAATTGGGAAGGCAGAACAGAATAGGTGTTCACTAAAAATGTGTTGAAGCATCTTGTAAAAGATCTGACTGCCTTGTGTACATTTCAAGCTGAAGTCATAATGCTACATTAAAGACCAAGGAGAAGAAATGACCATAGAGCCTGTAGGAAGCCAAGAAAAGAGAAGAACTCTCCAGATGGAGGGACTCACTGAGGGACTGAAGAAAATGTGGTTGTGCAATTGCTTCACTGAAGGCTCTAACCTTGGAAAGCAGGAGTGCGTAAAAGGACTAGAAGTGTTTTTTCCAGTTGTCCATTCAAGGTGGAATCTATGATTTGGTGGCAATTGGTGACAAATTCTTTTGGACAATACCATCTTGTCCTTTAAAAGTTAACAATAAAGAGATTAACCTTGCCACACATCCCATTTTCCTGTTGTTGGAACTTCAGTTGTTTTTAAGTTTTGCTATTGGAAATAACATCACAATAAGAATCTTTGTATATGATTTTATTTGCCTGCCTCTTTGTTTTTATCTATCTCTCCTACAAGAATTTGGAGAGTGGCACATAGTAGGCGCTCAATAAACGTTTGTCAAATGCATCTTTTATTTCCTTAGGACCCAGTCCAGAAGTCATATAACACGGGTAAATAGTTTAGTGTAATGTCTTACAATAAATATTGCTATTATTATGAACTATTGTTAAGTGAAGTTCACTGGCTCTTGAAACACATTTCCAAATTTATTTATAAAAAGGTTGTGATAGTTTACAGTGCTGCCAGCACCATTAACTAATTAATTCAATGAATAATTTTTGAGTGCATGCTGTAGGCCAGGAACTGTTCAAGATATTGGGGAATAGAGCACTGAGCAAAACAGACAAAATCCCAGCCTTTATGGAGTTTTCATTCTAGTGGAGGAGACAAATAGTTATCTCTCTATCTATATAATACATATTTAGATTGTATATAATTGGTCATCTATTTTTATCTACATATGGCATATGCAATATAATAAATATAATATTATACATTTAGGTATTATACCATAAAATATCAGGTAGTGATAATGGTTATGAAAGAAAATGAAGCAGAATAAGATTACAGAGAGTGAGTGGGTGGTTTTTTGGATAGGGTGGTCAGGGAAGACTGGTGAGGTGACATGAGGAGAGACTTGAATGAAGTGAGGTGAGGTCCAGCACAAGCAGTATGGCCGGATGGAAGGGAGCAAGGGGAAGAGTGGAACAGAATGAATACCTGTTTTAGTGGCCTCTCAACAGTCTGCGCGTAATCTTTTTTAAATGAAAATAACACAATACGTAAAAAATATTTTACTTTTGTTCTAAATTAAAATTGTATCATCATTGGTGATATGGACTGTTTTCACAAATGTTCTTTTGTGACGTATTGCAGGAGAGATAATATTAGTAATATTAAAAGCTCACATTTATGAGACACTGACATGTATAAGGCACTGTACGCGTCATCTAAGTCCTCACAACAACCCAGTGAGATATGGATTATTAACACCCCTCATTTATAGAAACTGTGACTGAGAAGTAATTTTCTGTAAAACAGACTATTATAAGTGTCTGTAGGTGTCTTTGGCAGGATAGAAGGACAGAGGTTTGAGGTAGCCTCTAGGTTCAGGCTCTGAATGCAGACAAACCAGCACTAGAGGTCACACTCCTCATCAATATCTCACGCTGCTTTTCTACAACAAATTTACATTATCCCAATAACCCTTTGATCCTATACTTGTCTCAGATTAAAGATAATCACAGACTATTTTCTAAGATCTTGCACTTTAGTTTCATAGGTTTATAAGGTTAAAAGGAACATCTAGAAATGTCCATTCCACTTTCTACAAGCAAGACCTATCTTTAAAAATATTCCAGGGAGAGATGCATCCATTTGGCAGAGACAGCTGTCCACCAATTCAGGCTTTCTCTTTGATAGCATAAAGTACTACCTGGGAACTCAGACAGGGATTGTGTTTCCCACGCCCCTTGCATCTAGGTGTGCAGTTCTTGCTAATGTTCTATGTGTGGAAGCGATATGTGGCACCTCCAATCAAGGGTTTTAAGAAGTTTCCCATGGCCGCATTTCACCAGGTTCCTGGAAATCAGTTTCATTCACTAGGAACACCCAAATGGACTGTTAAAAAGGTAAAAAATACACTTCTATTATGTTAAGCCACTCATATTTTACTGTTGGTTACAGCAAGCACATATCTTAAAGATCCCAAACCCCATAACTTTCCCTTTAATCATATATTCTGAGGCATCAAGTCCTTAATGTCAAAAGACAACAAAAGTCCTACAAGGGCAATGAAACTATCAAAATAAGAATAAAGTATGTTCTGTGGGCATTCCCACCACTCCCAGTATTGAAATTATGCTTTTCTTGCTTAAGCACCTTGTCATTTTTACCGTAAATTTTGTAACATACTGTTGTAGGTTGAACTGGGTTCCTCAAAGAGAGATGTTGAAGTCCTAACCTCCAGTATCTGAGAATATGATCTTATTTGGAAACAGGGTCTTCGCAGATGTAATCCAGCTAAAAAGGGTCATAATGTATTAGGATGGGCCTTAATCCAATGACTAGAGTCCTTGTAAGAGGGAAACTTGGACACATAGGAGGGTTCACCATATGGAGATGGAAGCAGAGATGAGAGTGATGCATCTACAAGCCAAGGAATGCCAAGGATTGTAGCCACCACCAGAAACTTGGAGAGAAATACAGAAGAGATTCTCCATCTGAGAACCCAAGAGGAATCCAATCTTGCTGCCACTTTCAGACGTCTGGCCTCCATAACTGTGAGGCAATAAATTTCTGTTGTTTCAAGCCATCCAATTTGCGGTATTGTGTTATGACAGCCAGAGGAAACTAATACACATACTTACACACATTCTAGCACAGACACTCCCTAATCTGAAATATATTTTTCAATGAGATAAAGAAACATAGCTCATTGTGGAATGTCTTTCTAGGTTCTCAACATTTACCGCGAAGTCACAGTTTCTAGCAAAGTCTAACATAACACTTCAAGAGTGCTTTGTTTCAAGTTTTCCTATTTTTCAAGAGATTGTGTTAAGAAGACTGGCCTAGGAAATCTGGACTTCATTTTTATGGAGCAGGGACTCCAGCCATACGCGTTATTTGATTTTCTCTGAATAAAGGAGGCCCTGCCATGTAAGTTTATCTTCCAGAGAGAGTGCAGAAAGTGATGGCAGCCATCACTCTATCAGGAGCCTGAACCGATGGTGCCGACATTTAATGCCAGTAGGTTCAGTCATCCCTATGAATATACCTGGCGTCCTAGGATTAGCTCCAGTTGAGCCTAAGGGATAAAATAAAAGGCGTCACTCGCCTTTACACACATATTTCTGATGTATTATTTACAAATTCTCCTTGGAAAAAGGTAAGATAAAATAATAAAGAGACCGGAACCTACGAGCAGAAAGACAACCAAACCAAAACACGAAGAGATTTCCTTCGCTAAAAGGCCCTTGTACACGCTAAAGCGTTGTTACAAGACACGCCGAATACCTCCGCTCTTCTTCGCAAACTCCAACTTCTGGATTTGGCATTTTCCTCTGAAAACAACGCACAGCGTCACACTGCGCAGGCGCCCGGGTCGGGGTTGGGGTCGGGGTGCGGGGGGGGTGCCCTGGGAGGATTCTGGCGCAGGCGCGTGGGCAGGGAAGTGAGCAAGCTGGCGCGCGTGCTCCGCGGTTCACTTCCGGCCCACCCTCCCCCTCCCCCGCATAGGCACCTCCCCCTCTCCCTCTCCTACCCAGTCTTTCCCCCAGCTCTCCCCACCCTTCGTGCTCTCCGCCCCGCTCGCCTCCTGTCCTTCCCCGCCCGCTCCATCCGGGTCGCTGACGGCTGTTTCGGGACTGGACAGTGGTGGCGGCTGCTTTTCTCTGAGGAACCCGGTAAAGTTTCACAGGAGCCGGGGAGGGGAGCAGCGGAGCGGCGGAGCAGCGACACCGACGCCGGAGGAGCCGTGGTGTTCGCCGCCACTGTCTGAAGGAGGAGGGTCCAGGAGCTGGAGACCTGCCTCTACTGCCGCGGTGCCTCGCTCTCTGGGGAGGCGCCGCCCCCCGTCGGCCCGGGCTTCCACTGCCTTGAGGAGCCGGGTCAGTCGTTGCCCCGGGGGGTCGGGGGCGTGTGGCGGCGTTAGGGAGCGGGCAGGCCGGGCTGGGCGGGTACAGGCCGGCCTGGCGCAGGGTGCTTTCTCAGCGCTTCCTCGGGGTGGGGGGCGGGGACGAGGGCCGCGTCGGGGCTCCCTGGCCTGGGGGCTGGCGCGTCGCACCTCCCAGGGGAAGGGCCTCGCGGGCTGCGGTGCCAGCCTTGTCCGCCGGCCCCTGCGGCTGCGGCTTGCGGGCGGCTGCCGTGGTTGACTGGGCGGCCCGCGAGGTCGGCGTGCGGGCAGTTTCTCTCCCCGGCCGCCTGAGCTGATCTGAGTGCACGTTCGGGGAATGACGGGCAGAAACTGCTGCTCATTCTCCTACCTGTTGCTGGAGAGAGAACGAGAGAGAACGCCTTTCCCATTCCCCGTCTGGCTTTTTAAAGAAAAGGATTGAGCCCGGTGCGCTGAAATCGGGGGTATTTTCCCGTCCTCTCTTCTTTAAAGAATAAAGTGCAGGAAGACAATGCAGAACTCTCGGGAACTATCGAGTTCCGATGCCCCAAAAGAATGAAATCAAACTTCCCTTATTGGATGGGTCGTGGAATAGGACAGCTTCGGTACTTGCTACCCCGAACGTAGGAAAGTTGGGTTTTGAAACTTGTCGGGTTCTGGGTAAGGAATGTGGGTGGCTACAACGGGAATAAGCCTGACTTCCTGTAATTGTGTTATTTAGTAACGCGATGTGTTTAAAAATCTGTGTAGGTTTAGATAAAGTGGACTCTTTGTTTTTGTGTCTCCACAAGAGAAGAAATACTCAATGTACTGGAAGGTTCTACAGATTTCGCCACCAAACTATCAATGTCCCAGCCCCCATTCCTATTCTTGAAAAATCGTCAGTGCTGGGTTTATTTGCAGTTTTTTCCCGTCTTCAAATAATTGTCTCAGAAGTATAGGTAGATATAGATTGTCCGGGGGAAATATTTTTCAGTCACAGTTACCACTCGTAATAGAAAATGTTGAATTGGGGGGGAAATCTTGATATTTAGACTGCATATTTCCTTTTGCGACTATTATAATAATGTATATTGATTTGGTTTTAAAATTAAATTAGTAATGAGGTCAGTGTTATTGTTTTGATTTGGAGGTGATTGTTTTAAGATCAAGGCTTGCCGAGAGGACCATAATTTTCTCTAGGCCTATTTGTAGGAATAATTGGAAGAGTCATTTAAATTGTGGGAAATTTAAAGTTTCCATTATTGATTTTATTTCCGTTACAGATAAGAGCTTCAGTTTTCAGTTGATGTGGAGGTAGGTATTAGAAGGTTTAATTATGCTGTGATTTGATGGAGATTGCAAGGTTTTATGATTCTGTAGTTGGCTAAATTTTTCACTATGTACTTGATTTTTGGGGCAGATGTCTTATTTCTTGCTCCCATTCAGGTTATTTAAAGCAAAAAGCAAAAAAAGAAAAAAAAAAAGATCATCAAGGTACTGACTGTTTCTATTAGATTAGTTTATCACAAGGTAACAAAAAGTCAAAACTAGTTAATATGTTTTAAATTTTGCAGAGAATCATGGAGAGTGATATATTTTGACTAAATGTTTCTATATGATATATTTTAAAAAATACAACTGATTGGTTTTTGAAACTGAATGATACTTATGTAGCGTATTATAAAATAGATTTTATTTACTATATAGTGATTATTGTAGCCTAGCACTTGAAATAGCAGTTATACATCATGTTTCCTTTAAAGTCATATTAACTTTTTTTCTATCTTCTTAGACATAGGGATATCTCCAACTTTCCAGTGTTTCAGAAGGGAGTTTTTTATTGAAACTGGAAGACCAAAAGAATTACAAACATGTTGTGCTGGGGAAATGCATCTTTTGGACAGCTAGGTTTGGGTGGAATTGATGAAGAAATTGTACTAGAACCCAGAAAAAGTGACTTTTTTATAAATAAAAAGGTCCGAGACGTAGGATGTGGACTCAGACATACTGTGTTTGTTCTGCATGATGGAACGGTGTACACTTGTGGATGTAATGATCTAGGACAGCTAGGTCATGAAAAATCCAGAAAGAAACCAGGTAAGTTGAAAATTTATTTATTTTTAGTAATGTTTCAAACTAGGAGTTAAATATATCCTTTACATTTACATGGTTCTATGTACTTTAATTATTTTGCGGTTTCTTTTTTAACTACTACTGTTGTAAACACTTATTATATGAAGCTTTGGTTTCAGAACATAATTGTGGTGATGCAGAACAATAGAGAAAACCAGCCTGCAGTGTATAGATCTTCTTTGGTACAGAGTGGATAAATAGAGAGTATAGAGTGTGTAGTTTCTCTTTTAATAAGCACTGTTCAGCCACCTTGGGCAGATTTTAAATGCATAATTTATTCTCTTGTTTTTCATACATCAGAAAGAAAAAAAAATTAAGGTGAACGCTTTTTGCTTTGACTTACTTGCCTAAAATACATCTTAGTTCTATTTTTCTCCCTATTGTAGTATTTTAAATATGTAATTTTATTTGGCTTAATTTGAAATATCTGTTATTCCCCTAATCTTTTACTTTCAAGTAGCCGCACTAGTTATTAACAGTTTTGTGACTGTGAGACATCCTGATTTTATAGTGGCCATATCAGCCAAATTTAAAATAATTTGTATGGTAATGTGAGAGTTTTGAGGAATTTGGTCACATTTCATGTTCTGTTTTCCTGGATACACATATTTTAAAGTCAAATATTTAGACACTTAGAAATATCGTTGTCATGTGAATTTTGCTTTTAATTATAACAAAAAATTAATTCTGAAGGTGGTAAATTCAGGTAAGACTGCGGCTGTACTGATTTACAGTTTCTTCTTTAACAGTAATGGCACTTAAGTATTTTCTGTGGCAGTTATTTTTCTTTACCACTTCATCATTTAAGTGGTTTCTATTGTTAGTCTGCTTTTGAGAGGTTACTATAGGTATAAAATATTAAGGCATTCAATTAAGGCATGTTGTTCATCTTTCATGTCACCTCACTACCATGCCAAACCTCACTTTTCTAACTTGTAAATGCTGTATAGTTTTCGTCCTTTCTATATTGTTAGGATTTTAGTCTCTTTTCTTCTGCTTTAATTTGTAATTTGATTTTTTTGGATGAATGGTAGTGATGCTTAATACAGTAGGTTTAATTATTGCAGAACTCAAGGTAAATGGCAGCTTTCTTGTACTCTCCCTCGCTAAGAGTATTTTATGGAATCGTGTTAGATTTTCATAATCTTAGGCCTTGAGGTTGTCATGTTGGTAGATGTGAATGATAATTTACCGATAGGTATTTGTTATCACTCCTTCAGAGACAGATGGATCCATTACTTTTTTTGCTTAGCTTGGAATGCTGCCTCAGGTTGAGATTTTCATGGTATTGAGGCTGTTCCTCTTCTAATACTTAACATGCCCCATAGAATAACTGCACATCTCTGTATCGCTTCTGAGAGGCTACTGGGCAAATAGAAAGTACAGAGACAGCACACAGAAATTGCCAATATAGTTACTGAAATTTACTCAGGTTTAAAATTTTTAAATGTTATTAAACACCTGTTCTGTGTCCAGGACAAGGGTAGACACTGTGCACTAATAGTATGATGATTATAGTGCCTGGAATAGCTTTTAACTCTATAGGGGAGATTCTGAGAAACTTAACTAGCCCTAAGAGGCTTCTTTGTGGTCATGTTGACATTGTGATGATTGCATTGTGACATTTATATCACCCTGTTGATTCATCCTAGAAGCATTATTTGATAATATAAAGTTGGGAGGGTGGGTTTACCGAACTTATAATACCTCTTTAGGATGGCCAATAAGGCCAGGGTACATCACAGTCTATGGAATAGAAAAATGAAAGGCATGAACTTTGTCTTTGAAAAATTTAGAGCCTGGGTTGTAAGTTAAGGCATACATAAATGAAGTAACTGGAGAGAATTGAAATTTGACTTGACGTGCTATGTACTTTGAGACTAGGAAATTTAAATTTAATTCTACCCGATTAGGGTAGAATTAAAGAAAGAAAAAGAAAATGAAGTCTTAAAGTTTAATTCAATCATTAATGACATAAATAGCCAGAAAATAAATCTGGAACTGGAATAGCTTAGTTTTACAGGAGGGGATCCTGATCCTGAGAAAAGCTTTTTGTTACCAGAAGTCCACGTTCAATGATATATTGAAGTGTATACCTTGGTTACAGAGGTAGGAGAAAGTAAGAATTCGAAAGGAGGTAATTGCTCTGATAGGGACTAGAAAAAATCAGTTTTGATTTAAGGTGTTTGGAAAATTTTAATAATGTTTTTAACTAAAATTATTTCCCTTTGCAATAATTCCTTAACGATTTAAATGTACTTCTTCCTCAACCCTTTTTTAAATTTGTGAGTTGGAGGACTGAATTAGAAGATAAGGAGTTCTTTTTAAATTGGTTTTAAAGTCTTCTGGTAATTGAGTAAGTCTGCTTGAATTTCTATGACCATGTAATAAACATAACTCACTTCATCAGATCTTTCAATTTGTGTCATAAAGGAGGGAGCTAAGAATTGTTTTCTTATAGAGATTGGCTTTATAAGTATACTAAATATTCTATAATCAGGAGAGAAAGAGAAAGTTGGCCTCATTCATTAAGGACAAGCTGCTATTGAGAGACGTGATAACCTACTGGATGACTTGGCCTTAACAGTGTAGTAAATACATTTGAGAGTTTTCCATTCTGGACGTTTTAGGAACCACATAGGAAAGTTTTGCTGATTTTCTTTATTATACCAAGAGTACAGATTATGTTCATCTCCCTTCTCTTGGATATGTATACCCCTTGCTATCACTGGTATCTCTTTCTGAATTATTTCCAGAGAAGTGAATGTCTGTTTCACTTTCACTTTCATGTATGTGTTTTTCCTTTGTAAGAATTTTTTTAAACCTTTTTTTTAGCTAGTGGTTCTCAGTTTCTTAATTCACAGCTAACAGGGAAATGTATTTAATCTTCAATATGCTAGGCCAGTCCATTTAAGTAAAGTGTTAGTTTCATTTTTATGCTTCCTTCCAAATTCACTTCTGAAGGTTTTAAGATAACCTATGGAAAGTGTGCTTTTCTTAACAAGATCATTTACTCACTGTATATCCAATGATAGGTATAATTTGGTGACCGTAGTCCTAAAAGTATGTTTTGCCCATCTATTTCCATTTGTTTCATGTTAGAAATAGTTCTAAACTATTTTATGGCCATAATTTGTAAATAATCTGATACAGTTCTGTTAAAAATGACTGTTTTGATTGCTTTTTGTGGTTTACAAAGTGCTTTCAAATAGAGTATCTCATTTAATCCTCACAACAGTCTTGTTTGGTAGCTAAGGCAGATGAAGAAACTGAAGTTAAAACAGATTGAAACTAACAGTCAGTAGGATAGCGAATGTTGAGACCGCTCTAAATCCTGTGGTTTTACCTTTACCCCACAAAGTTTTTCCTCCTGCCTTATTTAGAAGGTAGTGTAATATTTATTCGCCTAGGAGGAAACTAATTTTCATCAGTAATGTAATTCTGCAGCTTAAAAATATCTCTTAAAAATTACTGTTTCATAATTGAGGTTATACAATGAAGATATCATGTTTTATCCATCCCCCCCGCCCCCCATAAATTCAGAGAGAAGCCATTTTAGGAACCGTACAAGTAGACTGAGAGTTCTGTATTCAAGATGTGATGTTGTACCAACACAAGCTAAAAATTCAAATATATGTATTTTATTCTTGAACCTCAGACGAACTTGATTAGCAAAGTCAGCAATAAAGTTTTGAATAGTATGATAAAATTTATTGTAGCTTATGCTCAGCTCTTCTACAGAAGATATAAAGATTATGAGCGTTCATTTCTCTTTCCTGTATCCCAAAAGTGTAATTTCTACTGTTGGGTCATTCTAATAAAAGCATTTTGGTCACATAGCAGTAATTTCTTGCTTGCCTTTTTTGTGTCTTAATTTTCTGACCCGCACTCTCTGTTCCTAAAACATAAATCTACAAATGAACTGCTTAAAATATAATTGAAATTTAAAAAGTACTGTAGGAAAATAAATGTATATATATGGGAAATAAAATTTTCACTGAAGAGCAGATTAAAAATGCCATCTAACCCACAAATCCTCCATATTGAACTAAAGCATGTAATACCAAAGAAATTCATGATGTTTTATAACTCCTCATTTTCACGATACCTTTTAAGAAAGAGAAAGATGTGGATGATATGAAGACTTGAAAAAAGTAATTACTTGGGTCAGGAATGGAGGCTTGCTTTGGATGCTTTACTTTGAGAAAGGTTAGTGCCCAAGAATCACAGAGTCAAGGGTAGGGAAAAAAATCATGATGCAAACAGATGACTACTGTTAGAGAGATGTATAATAATACTTTACTTTGTGTAGGACCCTACATCTGAGGAATTTCAAGAGCATTACACAATAACTCATGGTTCCTTTCAAAATGCTTGTGACACAGTTTGCAAGAATTATCCTCATCTTAGGGGATAAATTTACGGAGAAATGGCAGCACAGTTGGTAAGTAACTTGTCAAAACAGCAGGTGACTGGTGAACAGCTATAAATTGAATCTGAAAATTTAAGTCTACCAGTCTCCTACTTATTCACTAAATTGTACTTATGTTTAGAATTATTTGCAGTAATATCTTCTGTTTGAAGCAGATCAAATACTAATGCACAGATTGTTTCTTTGCCATTCTGATTGATGGCCTATTGAAGTAAATAATTATTTTACCAAGATGCTTGCATTATGATACCACCTTGCTACTTAATTATAACTTTGTGTGGTAAGCAGAATATTTTAAAAAATGAACAAAAACTTACTGTAGTAACATCCAGTCTTTTCTCTTTCCTTTGTTATATATCATATTCGATATCCCTTTGTTGTCTAATGCTATGCTGTGCTACTCTCCAAGGTCCAGAGTAACTGCCAGGCACAACTGATTTGGTGGCTAACATTGGAACTTGGATTAGTTATGTTGTATCAGTCTGCCATGTGTCTCTGTAGGATGCATTGGTTTGGTGAATGCTTTATAAAA